CTACTAGGATCATGACTTAACTGTGTGATCAAATCCAATTTTTCTTGGACTAATCAACATGTAAATTGAATGGTCCCTAATTACGTGGATAAGTCCAACTTTGCCATCTCGAGACAAAACCCCCATTACGTAATAAAGTGGACCTCTAGAGAAATCAATAGATAGTACAGTTGTATTATAATGTTCCCTAATTATTTGATATTGACTAATTCTTTGAGTGAAAGTGTTGCGTAACAATGATTTTATTAATGTAATCTCACCTAACAACTTGATTTTTTGAGTTGAATTAGTTCTTTACGCAACACTTTCACTCAAAGAATTAGTAACTATGCTAAGAAACTCAATAAAACTTAATTAATTATTAAATAAATGGAGGTAGTGAAGATCAAACTCGTAATCGAAACTCTAATACTATTAATTAATTAGCTTTTGGGTGATAGCTTTTTTAATGGTTTATACTAATCTCTAACACGCTCTCTCACATGAGAGTCCACTGGACTTGAAGGGTAATTAATGCACATACTCACCTACCTGTGTTACGAAACTCCACAAGAGTCAATACTGAATTAATAAGACTGAATTAATTATTAATTAAATAGATCTGATATCATGTAAAGAACTAATTCAATTCAAAAATTTAAGTTATTAGGTGAGGTTTCATTAATAGTTTTATAGTTGTCTAACAATTACATATTTGACAATTAAGTTACTAGCTATAATCTAAGAATGTGAAGTGATGCAATAAAAGTGGATAAATAACTCGTTATTCTTACAGGAAATTCGACATAATGATTGGATGCAGATATAGCAGTACTTACTGTTCTAGAGGCTAAATTTTACTATCATGCATAGTTAGGGAATATCAACTTTTGTTTACTTTTTTTCATCGGGAAATGTGATGTTGAAAGCGCATAGATTAGTGGCTAAACAGAAAGTTGAGATTTTATCAAAAGAGTAACCCTCTGGTTCTCAATTATAATTATCAAATAACAAAATTCAACTCCTAAAATAAGGGTCATAAGCACCTTTATATAGACTAATTACAAATTGATTCAAAATTCTAAATCTAAAATTCTAAAAATAATAAATTTTCCTAAAACAAATATAACAGTAATTAACATCTAAAAATAAATAAAAAATTACAATTAAATAATTTAAAATACATCCCAAATCTTTAATCTCAAATCACGCCATATATGTTGCTTTCCTTTTCTTCCCAAACAAATCACAATCACATCTGCTGCTTTATTGGGACTTGGATTCGATTGTAGTTTGTTATATTTCAAATCACTACCTCTTTCAACAATTGGGCCATACTTATTGGGCAACAACTCTAGTTGACTATGAGTTCCTTGAATCAATAGTTGAGCCATGTACAATGGGCCAACTATATGTGCATCATTCTCCCCTACTAGGAAAAGATTTGTCATCGAATCTTGTTTATCTCCACTGATCTCAATTTTTTTAGACAAAAATTCAAATGATAAATTTTTCTCTATTAGATCTTGATAATCTGATTCACTGTCAGATTTATTATAGATTGGATTATCATCATAAGTTGGATAATCATCATAAATGAGATAATTATCAACAATCGGATAATCATCATAAATTGGATTATCATCATAGATCCGATAATCATCATAAATTGAATTATGATCATAGACTTCAAAGTCAGGATTCCTGATTTGCATCTCGATATCTTGAAAAGTAGATTGATTTCCAGGTTGTACTTCCCAATTCTATCCCTGATTAGAATCCATAAGGGATTGACATCCTCTTCTTCATCATCAGATGCGTCATCTAATTCCATTCTTTCTTCGGATTGAATGCCCAACTTTGTTCATGCAAGTCGCCGCTCCAAATATTGAATTTCCATGCTCTGCACCTCCACAAGAGTTTGCTTCAAAATTTGAATTTTCATGCATATCCGCACGAGTAGTCGCTCAAAATCTTGAATTCTCTTTCTCTGTGCCCGCACATATAGTCGCTTCAAAACTTGGATTTTCTTGTCCAACGCTTGCTTAAGTTGTTGCTTCAAATCCTAGATCCGCTTTCCGAGCTCTTCATTTTCTATAACTCGCAGGTCAAGCTGACGCAATTGTCTATATTCTTCAGGAACAAATCCATGTTCCCTACTCTCGTGGCTCCACCGTCGTCGACCTCCAGGATTCTGTGAAGCCATTGGTTGAAGGCAACCTAGTGCTTTGATACCAAATGATGTCGAAAGCGCATGTAAAAGTGGCTGAACAGATTTCACAAAAGAGTAACCCTCCGGTTCTCAATTATAATTATCAAATAACAAAATTCAACTCCTAGAATAAGGGTCATAAGCACCCTTTTATAGACTAATTACAAATTGATTCAAAATTCTAAATCTAAAATTCTAAAAATAATAAAACTTCCTAAAATAAATATAACAGTAATTAACATCTAAAAATAAATAAAAAATTACAAATAAATAATTCAAAATACATCTCAAATCTTTAATCTCAAATCACATCAAATATGTTGCTTTTTTTTTCTTCTCAAATAAATCTCAATCACATCTGCTGCTTTATTACGACTTGGATTCGATTGTAGTTTGTCATATTTCAAATCACAACCTCTTCCAACAATTGGGCCATACTTATTGGGCCACAACTCTAGTTGACTACGAATTTTTTAAATCAATGATTGTGCCATATACAATGGGCCAACTATAAGTGCATCAAAATGCCTAAAACGTCAAAACTTGAAAAGCATTCAGCTTTCAACAGACAACAGATGAATTATGGAGCAAAATCGGAAGATTAAGTAACTAGTTAACACACTTTTTTTTTGTCTGCCAAACATTGAACTCAACATAATGGAACCTTCATATTTAGGAAACCAATCCTAAGAAGAGAACACTTCATATCTTAGTTTTGATGTCAGTTTTCCTGTGAGTTTATATTTCTCATCTTTCTTTCCTTAAAAAGATTTCTGTTATCAAAAAAAAAAAAAAAGATTTCCTCATATCTTTTAGATACCACACTAATGTTTTCGTCTTGAAGTTAACTTTTAATTTTTTGTTCCTTTTTATTTTAGGGGCGTTTGGAATAGAGAATTTTTTTTTATAAAATTTTATTCCCGGGAATCATGATTCCCGATAATATATTGAGAAAATGATTTTTCAGAAAAATGTTACCAAAAGCTGGCCAAAACATTAGCATGAATGTTGGCTTGGTTGATTGTTAAACATTGCTAGGATGTGACATGATTTTACAAAAAACTATCATTGACCATCATTTTATTAACAACTTTTTCAATTTAAAATTAAAATAAATTTTTTACATAATCATCCAGAAGACAAAATTAACCATAACCCCTGCATTGTGTTGGGCGACTCAATTGCCCTTGGAAGAGCTCCTCGATTGATTAAGGAACTACTCATTAACAGGTTGGAACAGTAAAGCATGGCTCAACATTACCAGCAAATCCCATCTTCGTATACCTTCAACATAAACATCATTTTCCAATTTTAGGGTAAGCCCAATTCGTGGGTGATAGAGATAAAGGAAAAGTGTACCGAAGTCATTGTTGATGACTACATTTGGACGAGAAGTAGAGAGGTCCATGAGAAAGAGCGAAAAGGTGGTGGAGAAGGTTGGAAGTGGATCTGCGACTGGGATCCGAAAGTGAGCATGAGGCAGAGGATCATATGTGAAGCGCAATAAGGAGAAAGAAGAAAATGATAATGAAGAAGAAGGTGTAAGCAAAGGTGATGGTGATGCAGACTTCAATCCTAACAAGGGTATTTTTTTCTCCAAAAAATGGGAAAAAGTTTCCCATAAGAATTCAAGAATATCATCCCCTGTGGTATTTTTTGATAGCATTCCTCTTCACAAATTCAATTTTGAGGAATCTGGAAAAAAAGTTATAATCTTTATACCAAACGTGGATAAATAAAATTTTCAATAGCAATTTTTATAAAATCTAAAAAAAATTGATCTGCTAAACACTTCTTGTATGTGTCAAACAAAGGAAACATAAAATTAAAAAACAATAAACAGACAAAAGAGAGAAAGAGAGTTGAACGTCGAAGTATCGAAGTGTTTCTAGATGAGCTGGCTCACAATTTCACGCATGCATAATCTATTTAGTTAATGGAAAATGTTATATTTACTAATTTGTTTTTACTATTTATTACTATCAAATTTTAACTATTGATTTCCGTCAATCTAACGTTTATAATTTATTAGAAATTAATAATTAATTAATAAGTGTGATCCAATAAATAATATAATATAGGCCGACCTGTAGGTTTATAGGTCCGACATGTATAAAAAAGCCAATAGCTTATTTTCTAAATAGATTTTTTTAAAAGCCTATGCCTGTTCTATTTTACTATTTGTAATAGATCCAATTTGACTTAATATAAACTAAACTGTAAGTCCTTATAAGCCGACTTAACCCATTTACACCCCTAAATATAGGCATGTGCCTTTACCTACGAGGCTACCACTACCATTACTTTGAATATAATATTGCAGGTATTGTTCTCTTCCGCTTCTTTCGATGGAGAAGGGAGAGACGTGGGAGGGAGATTGACACAATTTTTTGTTCCTGCATTTTATTCCAGTGTGCAATATATCTTGAAATATTGAACGTTTATATTTGATGTACATTATCACGGATAAATAAAACATTTGAGAATCTATACATCAAAACAATCATTTCAAAATCAAAGGGCTTCACATTTTTTTGGTTATATCATACGTACTTTGAACATATTTTTAGTTCTCATATGATTTCAAATTATTTAACATACTAGAGGGAAAATGACAAAGTGCCAGTGTCCCTTAATCTGACCTAAATTTTATTTAACAACATGCCTACACGCTTGAAAATATTAAAAGAACAATAAATGTTTTATTTTTATAAAACATTTCAACCTGTTTATCTTCATGAACAATGCATGGTTATAAGTTTGTTAATTATCTGAATATGCTTGCATTAATTTAGTGCTGTACTTTTATTCAAAGCAATGGACTGCTTTCGAAAAAGTTAGCTGGCCTCAGTTCAAATCCACCATGAACTGCTGGCATTGCAGGAAAATCTTCTTGATAAGGAATGTGATGGATCCCAATTGTGTGCCATAGCACTATGTCTGTATTCTCAATCTCTCTGTTCCTGCGTGAACCATTATCCACTAAATCAAGTTAAAATTCAGTAATGTAGTTTCTTCAATTGATTGGTTTTATTTTTCATTTCTAAAAAAAGAAAAAAAAAAAGCGTATATTGAAACTTTCATTAATAAAATATGGTATATAGACAGTCTAGTATTTTCAATATATAGACAATCTTTCATTAATAATTTATTTTATCTTTTAACTGCATCTTCATGGATACTATCCGTGGTTCTTTTTTACTTAAGATTGAAAAAAAAAATGTAGTAGTAGTAAAAAGTTTGATTATAATTAAATGAAAAAAATTATTTTTAATTAAATAATAATGTATTTTAAAAATAACAAAAATGTGATTAAACGATAGATTGTTTTTTATAAGTAGTATATATTAAACATGCACTAAAAATATCAAATTGAATTTTGTCATACAAACTTGAATGTATAAAAATCATTTAATGTACCATAAAAAATCATTTAAAACAAAGATAAAGTTACTTGTTGTCCTTTTACCTCCGGCTCCAAATGGCTAAGCCATCATCTCCACGGCTCCTATCAGCATAGAACCCTCCAGCCCATCTCTCTGACTTGTTATAGGGAGTGACCCACAACTGATACTTTGTGTAAGATGTTCTTCTTTGTGGGTAATCATCATCGGACAAAAGAGAAGTAACCGGCTGTGCACTGATCAGCCGGTAACCCACTTGGTTCCCTAGCTTTGTCCTTTTATTTGGGTTGACTATTAACAGGTCAGCTGGCTCCAAGCCGAGCCGAATTCTACCCTCGGCTTCCCTCTTTGCTGCTTCTCTAACAACAGTCCAGTAACTCTTCCTTGGTGTTCCAAAGCCAGTTGGAGTTGCCCTTTGTATCTTGGCATTGATGAAAGAGTTGCCATTATCATCAATGTCAAGGTCAAGATAGTAGGTTATGTAGTGATCATGATAATTGGCTATGGTGTTTTCTGCCACCAAGGTTCCAAAAACATTTTCTTTTATTTGACTGTTATGTGTATATGGGACTGCTTTCATCTCCATTATGCCTGTCAGATCCACCTATCCATTACACAATAAACTATTCTAGGATAAGTTCAATTTTGTATGACTTGAACTAAATGTATTTTTTTATTTTAATTTATCATTTTGTTATTGTAAAGGATAGTCATATTCCTGTGACTGAATAATAACAATATTATAACAGAATGAATAGTAAGATAAGAAACGAAGTATTATAACTGCTGTTTAATGAGAACACCTATGATTTTAGTTATAAACTTATAATATTCTCCACGAGGTATGGAAGTTTGATAATGCTAATTTTCCAAATTCTAACGTATCTGTTTTAAGGGGGAGATGGTTTAAGAAAAGAGATTTTACTACTGTTTCATCCATAAAGACACTAAAAATTCAGCACTTTTTCCTTCCCCACTTCAATTAATTAAAGGGTTTTTCACTTCTGCAGCGATAGTTTACGGCAAGTATATTTATATCAAGATCCATATGCGGATCCTGACATTTAAAAAAAAAAGTCAGAATTCATATTTCTATGTGTTGTTGTAAAATTTCTCACATTTGCAGTGACATAAGAAGTATATTTACCAAAATTAAATGAGGTCCTCTAAGATAAAATGGCCAAATCATGAATCTACTCAGAAAAAGACAAAGACAGTAGAAGAATCTTACCCCAACTTTTATGCTGCCACTTCGTTGGAATTCCCAATCAAGAACATAATCATAGTTACCCACAGTGGCAATCATTCTGACCACCAATGTAATTTCAGGCTCTCCATTTCTTATCTGCAGAAAAATACATCAAAGTGTGTTCACAGAAAAACAGCAGAAATTCCAAACAACTTCAACCAAAAATGAAAACAAAAACAGTTATAATAACCTTACCAATTTTTTGGGATTGTTGATTTCCATATGCCTCCAAGCCACATTGCCAGAATTCCTCTCAAAAATGCAAATAGCCCTGGGTACCTGTTGCACCTCTCCATTAGGCCCAGACATATAACCATCCATATACACTGCATTGCCTGGGCAATCAACCCTCGGTTGCAAGCTATCAGCTGCACGTCCAAAACCAAATTCACCAGCATCCATAAAAGTCCTGAAATACCATTCCTTTGTAGGATCCATGTAAGGAACAAATGTCTCAGACACATGACCCCTATATAACACTCTTCTATACTTTTGTTTTCTAGCATCAAATATAGAAGCAGTTGATATGATCATTCCAGCCCGAGCATTGAACCCAACATGGAAAACCCAGTTAGCCCATTTGACCTCATGGCCTTTGATGGTGAACCCAATTTCTGATATATTACATGAAGCAGATATTTTTTGCCTGCTACTGCTTGAAGATTGAAAATCTGTACCTTCAGCTTTAGGCAAAGGGGCAATGTACCTGTCATTGTACATGGTAATCTGCATTGAATCAACATCAACTAGCACTGTGATTCCCTCAATAGGCCTTGCCCACACATTAACAGATTCTCCCCTGTAAAAGCATGCCACTTTGAGGGCTCTCCTTGTGATTTGTTCTCCATACCAACCAATTGTAAATGGTACACAAGAAACTTCAGACAAATTCAAGCCCCTTTTGGTTATTGACTCCTTGAATTTGGGATATTTAAGAGGCAATTTGCTGGCTTGAAGAAGCTCATTGAATGTCAAAGGAGGGTATCCATGACCTTTGTAGATTTTATCCGATACAATGGACCCTCTGGTTAAGTCCACTACAAGCTCATGAGTCTCACCCTTGGCTCGAACGACTACCTTGGCTTGACGAAGAATAATAGGCTTGTCTTTTGTACTTGAAGTTAGCCACTTTAGGACATCCTTTTTGTCTGGTTCTTCGACATCCACAAAATGATAGGTCATATTAGGAATAGCACCAAGGTAAGACTCTTGAAGTACGTGCCTTGTTTTGTTGATTTCAGCAGGTGAGAGAGGGTCTAAAGGGTGAGACAAACAACTAATGAAGCTGCATCTCAGAAAAAAGGCTAAAACTAGACAATGAAGAATCATGGGTGCTACTTTATCACACCTTGATATGATCATGTTTTCCACAGCTCTATTGATTATTGTGATATTAAATGACACGATCTTCATGTTGTATTTATAGTACCAAAACTTTGTATCACATAAAAAAGTTGAATTTTGGAGTGTTCCCGGGGGATCCCATAACTTCAATGACCAAGATAAACAATTTACATCCTATTTGTTTCGTATTTCAAAAAAAGCAACTTTTATCTCTTCCTTATTTTAATAGTGTTTTTTACAAAAGTTTAAATTTTTTATATTTTTATAAAATATTTAGTTTTTTAAGAAAAAAAATTTTCTTTTGAAATCTGTTTTTTTTAGAAGTTAAAATTTTTAGCTTTAAAAAAAAATAGATTTTTAGCTTTTTTTGTGACTTGTGCTTTTTTTAAAAGCAGACATCCAAATGAATTTAAAGTAAGAAGTATTTTTTTTCTTGAAAAAATAAGCTTTTGAAAAGAAAAGAAAAATCATCCAAACGGACCCTCAGTAAACTTCCTTGAAGAAGTCATCATGCTTAGCTAAGATAATTGAGGTGGAGGAGTTTTAAGTAGAGGTTATTGATTTAATTTTCTTTCTTAAAGAAAAAATACTTCATTCTATGGTAGGGAACAGCGCAGACTTGAAGAAGTCATCATGCTTAGCTAAGAGAAAATATGGAGGAAGCTTCATTTTATGCTTCGTTGCTTTAAGAATGACTTAATAAAATGGTACGTTATCTGATTATTTTAATCCCCGTATGATTCTTAGAATTTTTATTTGAATTGATATCATACAGGGCAGAGCGGCTTTATTTATTAAAAAAAAAATATTTAAAATGGTCTTTCAAAAATATAGGAGACATCAAGTTGGTCTTCCTAAAATTTTAAGCATCAGTTTCTTTTTTCAAAACTAAGCATCAGTGTTGGAACTAAATAAATGTTTAAAGATATCTTGAGGGACTAAATTGATATTTTCTTCTTCTTCTTCAAAATATTGAGACTAAATTGATATGCAAATGTTCTGTATAATTTTGGATGACTAATCGTATTTAATTTAATGATAGAAATCTTACCCAAATTATGGACATCAAATAAAAAATTTGAAATGAAATTCCAGCAAAAACCTTATCTAATACATTATTCTCAAACCAAATTCGTTCTTAGAACATTGACATATGGTTACAGGGGAAAAAGATATCACATCGTGACATAATGTTGTTGCTCAAAGTCAACATTTGAGTTCGAGCCAAGCCGGTTAGAAAAGCTTAATTTGACTGACTTTCAAATTGCCAAAGATTACTAGATTCAATTTAAGAGTAGAGGATGCTCTAAAACCATTTCATTCTCATTTCTCAACAAGACAAGAAGTGAGAAGTGAGAAAGGACTTGAAGAATTGATCATACTAAGGACTCTGATCCCCTGCGATCTCCATTTAGTGAATGATTAAGAATATGGATAAATATATACCATGATAATGGATATAGATAATGAATTTTTAATATGATAAACATGTTTTTTTTTCCTTTAATATAATTTGAAATTGCTAAACTCAATATTATTTAGTGATGAATTGGTTATGAAGCTGCTACTTATACTTTATTTAATAAATATTATAAATAATACATGAATATAATATTTTATAATGGTGGACCATAGTAATTCCCAAGAAATAAGTTACAAGGCATTAATAAATCAGTTGATATATATTTCAATGCTTTTCTAAGAATTTGAGTAAATTCCTTTTTATCATGGAGTTCATGGTAAAATTGTCAGACAAGTTTTTCATTTGTGTTTCTTCAAAGCAAACCACACTAAATGAAATTATTGTATAATTTAGACCATTTTCAAAGTCAAAGATAATCTAGAGAAGTTTGTACGTTTGATATCGATTTTATACAGACACACACCGGATTGATCTTAAAGCAAATGAAAGAGGAAAATGACCAGATGAAAAAAAAGAAAAAAGAGAACAAATGAACAGAAACGGTTTTTTTTTTTTTTTTGACATGGATAAAATATTTGCATATCTGTATGTAAGAAGACGAAAAGCTAGTGTAACATGTCGACCAACTCAACCCAACCCAAATTCACTTGGTATCTTTTTGTTGGATTGGGCCTGATAAAAAAAGTTTAAAATTTGAATCAGATCTGTTTATTTATTCATTAATAATAAAATACTAATATTAATATTAATATAAAAAATGTAGAAAACAAAATTTATTTATATAAGTAAAGTATTAGATGACTAAAATTTTCTCACATAATTTTACTAAAATGAATTAGCATTGTTCGTCTCACTAAAATGATTGAACAAGTTTATATAAATACTGGCATTTTGGAAGGAAAAAAACATTTTGAAGGCATATGCGGCATTTAAATGAAGTCAAGCAAACTGTTAGAATATTAATATGATGATAAACTAAACTTTTAGGGATTTAATTTAATAATTAAAAAATTTGAAGGACTAATATGGTGATACTCTAATATTTAAAGGATTAAATAGTTTACTCCAAGATGAATTATGTGTTGGGTCCGTGACCCTACTTTTTTTTTTTTATATATTTTTACCCAATTTTTTAACCTAATGAAAGAAAGAAACAAGTGCAAACCTGCAAGAGTGCAAGGTGTGTGAAAAGTGAAAGGGCCATCAAGAAAGTGAGAAGTGTAGGGGGAGCGTCACGCGCACAAGATTGAGAGTGTAACTTACACTAGTGTAAAATGATCCTTACCCTATATTTTTATATATATATATGAGTTCATTTTTTCTGCAGTTAGATAAGTTATTTGCAGTAAGTCTAATACGATGTCATTTTGGGCAGAAATCATGATATTTTTATAATTTTAATTTATTTTAGGATTATTATAGTCTTTATAATTATAATTATTTAATTTTTCAAACCCAAAATGACGTCATTTTAGAAGTAAATACAGATAACTTATATGCAGTAACTACACAAATATTATTCTGTATATATATATGGGTTAAGATCATTTTACACCAGTGTAAGTTACACTCTCAATCTTATACGTTGATTCCATTTATATCTAACGACTCAAATTTTTTAGTAATGTGAGCCATTGGATACAAGTGGATCAATGGTCAAGATTGAGTGTAAGACTTCTAACTCTTACACCGGTGTAAGAATATCTCGCCCTTGTATTTACATTTTTGCGGCTGTTATATGTATAATAGTCAAATCCTTATCATATATATCCGTGAAATCATTAAATGTAGGGAATCATAACTAGAGGTGGCAAAGCGGGCTGCCCGTCCCACCCCAGCCCGCCCCGCCCAGCCCCGCCTTCGAAGATGGGCTAGATATCTCAGCCCGCCCCGTCCCGTTTGGGCGGGCTTCCCGCCAAGCCTGTGACATTTTACACTAAAAATTAAAAAAAAAAAAAAAATCAGCCCGGGCGAGCTGGCAGGCAGCGGGCTTGAGAAACTCAGCCCGCCCCGCCCCGTTTGGCGGGCGGGGCGGGGCGGGTCGGCCCGGCAGGCTCGGCCCATTTTTCCAGCTCTAATCATAACCATACAGATAAAAGTATTTAATATGAGAAATCATAACCATACTCATATTACGATTATCATTTATTGAGAATTAATAATTAATCAATGAGTTTGATTGACAAAAATTATAACCGTTGATTGACGGAAATCAATAGTTAGGATTTAGTGTCAAATTTTAAAATTTGATATCGGTATCAAAAGATTATGCCCAATATATATATATATGTGTGTGTGGTCTAACAATTATATTTTATCGGAACAGTTGACTTCTTTCCTTGTTCTTATTTTTAGATTTTCATTTTTTAGGGGATGATATTTTGATTCCCCTATTGTTATACAGAAAGAATATTTGTTATTATGTACCCATTATTATTATTGATAGTGAAAATTTAGAGGACTTCGATAAAAGTATGTGATTTTTCTTCTCACATTGAATTTTTTATGTAAAAAATCTTGGTACCATTTATTTTTCGTTGCTGTTCTTCTTTAATTTTTGAGTTATTTACTTCGATTGGCACTTGCTTTATTTGTTTGACCCCCAACATTATGTACAAAATTAATGACCATTTAAGTTTCTTGTAATATTTTTTTACTGGCATGGTAAACGTGAAATGGCATGATTATTTTTCAGTAGTTTTTATTCAAAGATTTAACACACCCTGTCCCTTTTGGAGCTCGAATTAATTTCTTAATGCATTCAATTCTTGGTGATGTTTGGATCGATCAAAAACTGATAAATCGATCACGTAATAGAGTTGGTTTTTATGTTGACCGGCCATATTATAGAATTAGTGTTACCCGGTGTGATCAATCTAGTTAGTTTTCGTACAAATTGATGACCCGATTGGTTTAACCGGTGACCCGACTCGATTCATAAAAAAAAAAAAATAGTTTTTTTTTAAAATTGATGTTTTCTTTTTTTTACTTTCGCACACAAATAGTTTACTTTTTTTAAAATATTTGAGTGATCTGTAACTTATTAACTTACATAGATTATGTATCTACAACACCAATATTATCTTAGTTATGTAATATGCAGGAAATTTTAATTTTATTAATAGTGGTAATTTATTTTTTTTATATTAAAATATTTGAAATTAGTATTTATATATATATATATATATATATATATATATATATTTAAGTATATTTATAGCTTTTTAATATAAATCATAGATTTACTTATATTTTTACCGAGTCATATCAATAACTCGTTGGTTGAAAGAGTGATCCAATATCTCAATCGAGCCAATAACCGAACCAGGTTTAATATGATTGTGTAAAAGTGCTTGTAGATTGATTTATGAAATGGCCTCATGACTTACAATGCGTTGAACTTGACGTGCTCCATCCCCAAAATATGGTGAGGTCAATAACAGCAAACTATTATTCTGATCACGAACATTAAAAGAAGAGTTCTCAAATCCCTCATTGAATGATACAAGTCAAGCAAGATGTCGCCGAAGCCTGAACCCCAACCCAAAATCGAGGGGTATGCTTTCAAGTCAAGTGGCTCCGTCCAATATGTATGGGTTAACAATGTTGAATAGAACCAGGCAACCAGCTGAGGTCAGATTTTGAAGAACCATCGCTATTTTTTTTTATCTGTCCTTATTACTTTGGAGGGTTCCACAAGCCCACGAAAGGACACTTGGAAACCCATAACCAAACAAAGAACGTAATACAAATACTGGCAGTGGCAGCATGAGAGCACAGCCAGACTTTTTGTCGACATTGATGCAGAATCTCGGGCTAAACTACAAAACCTCAGATTTGGGAGATGTGAAAGCTGAAATACTTGCTGGGTAAAAAAACCCCAATTTTGCTAACATCATCTCGCTTCGACTAACAGAAACCTTGATTCCTAAACGACACATGCTATTGTACAGGGGACCCCAATCTCCAATATACGACAGCTCGTATCTATTCATTTTCCTTCCATTTCTCACTTCTCACTTCCCATTTCCCAAAACATACACACACACACACACGCGCGCGAAGAAGCTCCACGAGTATTCAAACTTAGCTAGCTCACAGCTCACCCCAGTTTTGACTTCTCACTGAGACAACCGAACCCGACACATATTCCTACCAACTATCTCATCGTAGAAAGAACCCAACTCAAAACATAAACTATTATACAACAGCACAACCAGACAATATCAAAGTTTTCAAACTCGTTCCGGGTTATTTCCTTATTATAAACAAAGTCCAAACCAAGTTTATGCAAAAAGATTCCATTCAACAAATCCTCAAAATAAACATTGATTGATAAGTAAGGCAAAAAATAAAATAAAATTGAAAATAAGATAAGTTACAAAGATCAACGATGTCGTTTCATTTTCAATGCTCTTGCAATCTTGGTCTACCTTATGTTCGATTTTCCAATGTGCAGGTGCAAGGTTCGCCGGTTTGACCACGCTCCCTTCTTCCCATGCCATTGCCCCCTCGCACGCCGTTTCACACCCCGCCCTGTACGTCGTCGTTTTTTAATAATTTATTTATCTCTCAAAACTCTAACCACGTCCCCGCGTAGAGTGAGTGTTGACATTAACATAGAATTGAACCAACCGCACGAGGGAACTTGAAAATTGAAATCGAGGATAAAAAAACGATTGAACGAATTAATGTCTACTTAATACATTCGAAATATAATATGTACCGAGAAAGAAATTAAGAAAACAAGAAAAGAAGAAAGAAAAAAAAATGGCACTGGTAGGGTAAATTGGGACGTTACGTTGATTGCGGTGTGGTATTTTAGAATTAGAAACGCTGAGAAAGCGAAACGTGACGTCTTCTCATGTGTGGGGAAACAATGGAGATGAGTCCACCCAGTGGGGGCCTCATCTTTGACCGGTAAACCATCTCGTCGTACGGTCTTCTGTAGAATTTCACATACGGCAAGAACGATTCCCTGCACCTCTCCCCCTTGCTGCTCGCCTGGCTCTCCCGCCGGAAGAATGTCGCCGGCGACTGTAGGAATGACGTCCGATGCGGCGCCGTCACTCGCTGCGGCAGCGGTGTGGAGGGAAACAGCCCCTTCCTGGAGGCCGGGGGGCCGCGGGGGGTCCTGGCGACGGGGGAAGCGAATGAGAGGGAGCGCGCGTTGAGTGGGGAGATCAGTGCAGGGGAGGGGCTCGTGGGTCCCACCTTGGATGCTGACGTGTCGGTGAGGCTGAGGTACCAGGGCTTTAGCGAGTCCAAATGATGAGAAACCGTGAACGAGAAGCGGGAAGATGAGCACGACCCGATCTTCTCCGTTGATTTCACGGTGGAGGGATCAAATCGGAGGGACGAGGCTCGAGGGTACGCAGCGAAGTCGTTGAAGTCCAGTGATTCTTCGAAATCCAACGATGACACCACCGTCGTCCACCCTGACAGCTCAACAAACGGCCGAACACCCTGCACCGTAATCAAAAACACATAATAATTATATTTTAATTTAACTTAATTACAATTAATTCTTTAGGGGATTGACTTGAATTGAACCAGTACAATATGACACTAAACAATATAGTATATGGTTACATTTGAATTTAAGATAATCTACTAAACACTTTTTACCAAATCTTAAACAGTGACGTGAATAATTATTATTTTTTTGCATGTTTACATTTTTAAAATAGATGGACTTGGTTTGTGGATATGATGAGAGCATGGTGGTGGGTGGGGCCACATAAAAAAGAAAAAAGCAGAGCAAGTGGTCCCTTCACGGTGATGATGGTCAAAGAAAGTGGAAGATGGAGCATGATATGATGATGCTAAAAAGGATACCCAAAGAGGGGGACAGAGGGAGACCACACTTAAATGTGATCTAACAGTATTGGAGTTCAATAACAGACACTGGCTAAACAGTACATAGTAGACTACCAAAATTAGGTACGAAAGGAATTTGAATTGTGTATACCTTCCACAAGTAAGCGAAAAGCGAGGGAGGGTCTATCACAAACGCTTTGCATAGCCGGCCTGGGTAGTACTCCGCCACAATTTTCAGTGCTGCTAGTAACAAGTTCATAAAAGCAGATGCTGACCTGTAATAGCCTGCAACCAATTAAGCAACTCCGTTATTCCTAATCCTTTAATTGTTTTAATTACGGTAATTACAGTCTAAAAGGGTGATGATAATTTATAAAATTCGGCCGAGTTATAAAAGGCAAAGGTTACTGGTAAAAGCTAAAAAGGTGAATCATGAGTTGTTCCTCTGATGCTGCAATAGCATAATTTAAGGAAGCAATAAAGATTGAAATGGACCAATTCTGATACAGAATATTAATAATGACTCCAATTCCCAATAATACCCTTTCTAACATGGCCATTAATTGCAGACTGGAGTCTGTGACACTTGAGGGGCACTCCGGACACTCTCTGTGTGCCCCTCAGGCCTAACAGAGTTCCATATCCCTGCTCTCTCATTTATTGTTCTGATCCATCAATCTTTTCTGTTTCTTTCTGATTTCATTTCTTCCCTTTTTAATTGTTTGCTCTTTTCTCAATAATGTTGTTTGAAACGGCATTATGGAAATTTGGGTGGTGTAGGTGGACTTACTTGCGTCGAAAAGCATGACGAATTGTTCCACGTTTTTTGGCATCGTCGAAATTGCCACCTCCATCGTGAACACCAGCAAACGAGTGAACCTTAAAGATTACAAAAGGAAAAAACAAACAAATGAAAACAAATAAAAATTAGCATGGTTTAGTTCTACTATAGTATCAGAAACGAAATTCCCAAAGGGTAAAAAAAAAAATTATATTTATATCTTCTCGTGTTTCGTAACTTACATTTTCTGGGAATGCAACTTGTGATAGTCTTGTTTCATCCGGAAAATCTGTGACCGCCCCAATTCAAATCACAAACTTTTAACTCAGAAAAAAAAAAAAAAAAAAACGTTGAAACCCAAATTCAGAGAAATAAGAGAAGGGTGATGAAATTACCATAACAGGTCTAGATTCGTCGTCATGACCAGCCACATAGGCAAAACCATCAGCTAGTTCAGCTGAGAAATCATCTGCTATCAAATGATCTGCTTTCAAAAAAATAAAAAATAAAATCTCATCAGTGAAAATTAGTAGTCACATTTCATTATTTCAATAAAAATAACAACATTTTTTTCTTTTGTGGTTTCGGGGCATGGACAGTGAGAGAGAATGGCTTAATGATTACTAGGGAGTGGGGTGCCTTTTACTTTAACGCTTAATTCAAAGGAAGGGAAAAGCAAGATTCTTTGGCGAGAGAAAACAAAAAGAGAAGTCGGCGTGGTTACGGGTTTTCACAACGGGTAAAAAGCTTTTGCAGTAGTAGAAGAAAAAGAATTAACTTAGGGGAAGAATAAGCCATAGGTTGTTAAGTGTTTGTATTAGATAGTGTGTTCAATTTTTACTTATATCAAAAAAGGGGAAGAAGGAGGAGGAGAAGAATGTGGGGAATATACCGGTGACTATACTCTCTCTCCAAGAAAGGCAAGCCCTGAGTTGCTTCGCAGCTTTTTTCACGTTATCCCCCTTAGCTTTCAGAAACCGTTTCACACAAGCATAGTTGCAGAACTTCTCCTATACACACAACAACAACAAGAATAAGAACAAAACGAAAACTTAAGTATATCAGACCCAGAAACCCATTTTATAATAGTAATTATTTTCCTCCCAAACAGTGGCTTTGAACGCTTTCATGAAGAAGTTAACGCGTCAAAGTGAAGCAACACAAAACCTTCTACTCTTTACTCACTATGGCTAAAAAAAAATAAAAAAAATTATCAACCCAAGGTAGAGAGAACATGGCAAGAGAATAATAACCTGCTTCAGAGTGAGAGGGGTTTGTTTTCTGATGAGTTCAAGAACAGCTTCAACTCTCCCTGTTTCCTTGTGATCGCTCAGCTGATCTTTCTTCCCCATTTCGAGAAACACCAACTTAGAAAGTGATGTGTTTGCAATAATTACCAAATCTCCCAACAAGAGAACACAACAGCTGTTATTCCAATCTTTTGTTTCACGCAACCATAAATAAAAAGCTTCTTGTTGAACTCAGAAGACAGAGAGAGAGAGAGAGAGAGAGAGAGAGCATTGAATACAAAGTGATGTAGCAACTTGGAGTCTTTATTTATAGCGAAACGACGGCAGATAACGCCGTTACCAACTCGGGGAAAAAACACACACACAAGAAAGGCTTTTTGAAAACGTCAACACTTGTTAGTCTTGAGACTCCACAGTGTTTTTTGGGTCAATGTCCTAAAATGGGTCCCCACTCAACACCGCAATAATATGCCTCAGACAGGGATTTCTAACGGAAAACGCCGACTTTGTGTTGTTAACTAGTTACCATGTGAGTCTTTTTTTTTTTTCTTTCAAATGAAACCAAAAAAATAAAACTATATTACAGAGAAACTAAAATAGTAAAATTAGCTTAAAATGGTTTTGGATGAGATTTGTACAGAAAGAAACTTTTATAAATAGAAAGTTTCTGTACAATTAAGTGAAAGATGATCATTAAAAGAAATCAAATATAAAACTCCTGAGTTCGCTTAGTTCAATCATAGCAAGCGGCTCAATTTCCCATTGCTTTGTTTGGTCTTTTTAATTCTTATGTTTTAAAATAAAGAAAACAATTACATATTATTTTCTTCTAACCATTTTTACCCTTTTATTTAGTAAAACAAAATAAATTGTAAGAACACATATTTTTCATTGGAAAAAATTGCGTAACAATAAAGAAATAAAAATAATGTGCAAATAACATTATTATTATTTTAAAGTGCATTTGATTTACCAAAAAAAGGGTATTTCATTATTTCAAGTGTATTTTAATACTTCAGATATCATAATAAACAATCGTCTCATATAAAAGTTTAAGCTTTTGACTAAAGATTACTATAATAGTTTTATATTAAAACAATTTAACACATCCCCTTCGTACAAGAGTCTATTGAGTTGAGTTTGAAGGATAAATAATGGACAAATTCATTATTTTGTACTAAAAAATTCTATAATTAAATATTTATTAAACGAATATGAAGGATGAGCAGGAATTTGAATGAGTCACGTCAAAACAGATTTTCATCTAAATATGCTAGACATATATAAAATATTTAAATCCTGGCCTTATTGTTATTTGAAAAATATAAGGTTTGGTTTGGCCTATCAAATTTTTAAAAATAGGGTATTACACTCCATAAATCATAGGTTATTAAAGAAATCATCTTTTATTTATCAAATTATTAAAATAATTTACGTAGGTTCAAACCATATAGTAAATCATTTTTATTTGACATGTGTAATTTGCTCGTTATATATTAAAGTAAGATTGAAAATAAATTATTATTTCAATTCTTTAAGAAAATTGGAAAGAGAGAATTTTTTAGGAAAAAAACAAGGGATAGAATATTGTAACAACCAATTAGTGTTACTACCAATCAATTTCACCGTTAGATCGATTATGTTGATCCAATGGTTATATTTATTTTCATTTTTGTAAGATTTTGATTCCCCATAATTAATGTGAAAGCATTAAATATAGAAAATTATAACCATATAAAGGTGGAAATAAATATAAAGTATTAAATATGGAAAATCGTAATCATACAAAGAGAAAAATAAATATAACTGTTGGACCAACATAATCGATTTAACGGTGAAATTGATTGGTAGTAACACTAATTGGTTGTTACAATATCTTTCCCCAAAAACAATTAAAAAGTTTTTGGTCCGTATTTTAAGTATATTTAAAATTTTACTAATTCAATCAAAAGATAAAACAAATAAGCTAAAAAATTATAAAATTAATTGAATTGTATTGATTTTTTTTTTTGAAAATTTATACACACACGAGGATATACAGACATATAAAATAATGTAACAATTTTTTTTCATAATATCTGTATTTATTTAAAATTTTTATTTTGCTTAAAAATCAAACTTAATTTTTACTCTTACGTTAAATATATATGTGGAAGGTTATATTTATAACCTAAAAGATTTATAAATTCTTATAATCCATTCAATACCGTTTGATTATATGGTTAATTAACGGTACACAATCTTCTCATATAATATTTCACTTTGACAGTTCCACTTCCTTTCACAAGGTTTGTAGGGAGGAAAAAGATGAAAGGAAATGAAACTATAAAAGTGAAATATTATATGAGAAAATTGTTGAACTTTGATCAACCATATAATTGGTCAATAATTAATAGGTTGTAAGTATAACCGTCTCCGGTATATATTATGCAATTGACACTTAATATATATTGATATTTAAAAGTCAAATTTATATTTTAATGTGTTTTATGAAATTGTGTAGATTCATATTTATTATATTTTAATGAATTAATTTAAACTTACATTTAATATATTTTAAGAAAATTATATTTATATATTAAAAAATGGAAAATACTATTGTCAATTATACTGGAAAATAGTAACATGTTCCTGTAGAGACAAAAAATTTAAGAGAGAGAAGAGAAAATGAGGTGAGTGAAAAATTATCCGTGAGACCCAACACATTTTTGTCTGTGTAGGAACATGTTACTATTTTCATTAACATGATAATAATATTTTCCTAAAAAAATTTAGTCATTTATAATTTTATATTATAGTATTTTCATTTATATTTTTATTTAAAAATAAGAGTTTGCTTTTTCTGCAGTTACTGCAGATAAGTTATCTGCAATAAGCCCAGTACGACGTCGTTTTGGGGCAAAAATTATGATGTTTTTGTTATTTTAATTTAATTCAGGATTATAATAGTCTTTATATTTATAATTTTTTAAAATTTCAATACCAAAACGACGTCGTTTTGAAAATAAATATAGATAACTTATATGCAGCAAGTACAGAAATATTTTTTCCTAAAAATAAAGATGAAACTTGGAGGTTTAGAGGGTAAACCTTTTGAAATAGTATTATGCCTTGATTTTTAAGTAGACCTTTTAACGAGCACAAGTCTGTAAGTTAAGCCAAAGGTAAGGCAACTTATAGCCCCTAACACGCCAAACTCGTAATAATTTAAATATTAATTTTGATACCATGATAAAAAAACTACTTCACCTAAAAAAATTTATAATAAATTTTCCTAACGATAAACAGCTTTACAGCGCACACCCTTTTTTTAAAGACTATGTGTAATGTTGAAGTGAGAAATTTAACTTATGTTTACTATTAAGCAATATTAGGAATAAATCCTCTCAATGTTTTGTTTTAAAATTATCATGATTATTCATTAGTAGGTTTTACGAATTTCTTAGTTAAAATTTTAACTGTTTATCTAGGAAACAAACATTGAGATTTGTTGAGGGATCCAAGTGTGAATGATTGAATGAAATTTTTTTATGTTGGTTAAGAATGGACTAAGTGAACATCATATAAGTGAAATGACTCATGCATCTAATGCCTTAAGATTTTGGGTTTAATTGTGGTGTTCCAAGTCCACTTAATATTGCTGTTTACTTAGTCTATGGTTAGCAATCTCCCCCAGTCACAAGCTCTCCCTGCACGACCCAGCAATTGGTATCAGAGCTAATGGTAGATTGATCTGTGGTGATCCAAGTATGTCTTGATGTGGGAAGCCAAGGTATTGATGAGTGTACCCAAGCCTTGATAAAAGAGCCAATGTTTGATGAGAAATCAAGTGTTGATGAATCCCTTGAATACTCGAAGAAGCTATTAAATAAATAAACTTGATTTAGTTTTTTGGTCCATTGTGCTTAGTATACATTTAGCCCAATATCTAGAATTATACTTTAGGAGTTAGTTTAGTCCAAGATCTGGAAATTTTTATTCTAGTCAATTCCATGAAAGTTCTAGAGGGTAGTTGCACCTACCACAATTAATATTTGTACTAGGCTAGTATAGAAAACTCTATAATTATTTGGAGTCATTGTTTTGTTGAGGTGCCACTAGTATAAATAGTGGTCATCTCCATCATTTTGTATCAAGCCAAAAAAGAAAAAAGAGTTGTGTAGCAATAAAAGTGTTCTCTTCCTCCATATCTTTCTATAATCTTTACTTTTCTCAAAAATTCTTCTTCCCAACAGAAGCTTCTCTTTAAGTGGGGAAAAAATGTGAGCCTAGGACTCACACATGAGGAGGAGATGTTGAGAAATCCAAATATTAATGATTGAGTGAAAAAGTTTCACATTAGTTAAGAATGGTCAAAGTAAGCATTATATAAGTGGAAGGAACCATGTATTTAATGCCTTAAATTTTGTGTTTGATTGTGGTATTTCAAACTCACTTAATGTTACTGCTCACTTGGTCTATGATTGATTGACGATCTCTTCCCGTCACGAGCTCTTCATGTACAGCCCAACAAGATTAACAACTCGCTTTAAATTCAAATATTAAAATATTTTTGCTACCCATTTTGTTCCTCAATGTTATTCACTAGTCGGTTAGAAAAATTATTATTGCACATATATATATATGCAGATGCATATATATATTCCTTTCTTTATGCAGCAGCGGCAAACTGGCATTGTTTTTTCACAGCGACAGTTCAATAATGATGTGGGAGAGTGGGAGTGTGATGTGTGCAGCACAGGTAGGAAGGGAAAGGCTGCAGTGATGGATATAGCTGAATAGAAGTTGGACTGTGGGAGAGTAATTACGTGAACAAGTACATGCTCATATTTTTTGGAAATTGGGATGATAAGAAACAAGGGTAACTGAATAAGAGGCCAAACAATACCCAGACACGTGAACGGATATTGCGGGATAAGCAAACACATGTTTAGCGTGTATGTGTTACAGAGAAAGAACAGAGGATTTTGTTTGTAGCAACTTGTTACTCATTGAAATAATGGACTATGAAGTTTTCCCTATCTACCTATCTATATCTATGAGTTATTGCTCCCTTGTGATTTTGTGAACTGTGGTTCCTTTGCGTGTGTGAGAGAGTAAAGTGCAGGATTGTTGTTGGCTTAGAGGTAGAAAACGGTGAATCCCACT